CGTGCTGTCAAACCTACACTAGCAAGGAGATCGGGCTGAAACTATAGCTACAAGCTATTCAAGGATGGTACTATAGAATGTCACCTCAAGGTAGGCCTAGTGGCGTCATCTCTTGGTTAGGCCGGAAACTTATCAATCCACCCTCGTATGTGTGTGTGTATGCATGTATGTGTGTGTTCGCTCTTCTCTCTTCTCTTTTCTATGTGTCAATATCGTGCTCGTGGTTCTTCCCCCTTCCTTTTTCTTCTTTTTCCTTGACCATATTTCCAAATTTTGCGTGAGCTCCTGGGCCCGTGATCTGGTGTATCCAACTTTCTTGCTCTTTTCCCGTGTGCTCACATTCTTTCTAGGACATATTCTAGTGTTTCGTCCTCTTTCTTACACATTCTGCATAGTCTTTCCTTTTCTGGTAGTCAATACTTATTAGCTTTCGTTTCTGATCCTAACCTAAATCTTGCATACATATCTTCAGTTCGTTTCTTCGTTTGTGTCCCTCTTTCATGTATTCCAGTTTATCGATTGGGTGTATTTTTTGAGTATTTCGATGAATTTAGTTTTTACTCTAGTTTTTGTCTGTCTTAATAATAATACCTATCGAATATGTTACAAAAGACTTTCGTACATCCACTATAACGTGCAGCAATAATGAGCAAAATGAGATTATAATAATTTTCACATTTACTATGATCAGTTACACCACTACCATGCGATAAACATATTATATTTTATGTTGGTACTATGTATTTCTATTACATATGCGCCTTTTCTTAAGGCTTTCTTACCATCATTCTAAATACCGATACGATTCTGTCAGGTGGGCAGTCTATAAGATTTTTATGCCAATTCCAAGAAGGATAGGGTTTAACAATAGGATTCCCATCGGCAGTGGTTTTGTCAGTAACAGTTCCGATAGTTGCAGGATGCCCACTCTGCATACGAGGCATGGCGATAAATATCTTTTTTGTTTGCCCTGGTCCTGTAAATATGTAAAAATTAATATTTTCGTAAAACTAAAATTTGTCACCTGTAATGCGAAATTCATTAATCTTTAGTCTCATCCCTCCATTACGTTATGGAACCTTAACGCGTGCACCGACCTGACCCCTCACTACTCCGTTATATAGCATTCTATCAGTTTTAGGCTTCAAATAAATAGGATTTTTTTAATTTTCAACAACAATTCAATTATAAATAAGTTCTAAAATAGTTACGTAACGTCAAGATTGACCCCCTAAGACCCTCCTACAAAACGAGGCCATTACGTGCAGATGAATTCATTATTTCAATATTTCTTCACTTTTTTATTTTATTTGTTAAAATTTTTATTTCAAGATCTGTCTGAAATACACAATTTCATTTAAACTTTAATCCGGCCCTGACGACCTTTAGTCAATAGTTCTCCTGGTGTGCGGTTGCCATAAAAGGTTGTAAAGATATTGTAATGTTCGTGGGTTTAACAAAATTAACTTCTGAGACTGATAACGTTAATACGTCGTC